AATGGAACAGATGACATCGGTAGGCTCACGCATATACGACTGATTTAGTCCAAATATATTTTCACAGGTTTCATTTTTGGGCTTTCTTCTGCCGGTAGAACCTCTAAAATGCCTCCATATACCAGAAGAATTTTTACCCTACATAATCTGGTTATATATTAAGTTTAGGCATCTTATCTCAGACTTCATCAGCCAGGCAAGTGGTTCAGTTATATTATCCGTAGATTTGTGGTTTTTCCCTTTCCCCATGGTGGCCTTTTTAAATGTGGAGAACAAAATTAATCAAACCCCAGAAAATTCATCCCACTTGGGGAAAGAAATATCAAGGCCATCTTCAGGATAACATATTAATTCAGACAGACGAGGTAGTTATCACGTAGATTATGCAACCAAGTTTCTCGTGATGTTATTAAACCAGTATTACCATGAATACCATAAATAACCACTATAAATGGTTAACCTTACCCACTAGAGACCTTCAGTTTGAGCTGAGCATTTCCGGCAGTATCATTCGATGCGGATTTGTTTGCTTCAGATTACCCTGTTATGTTCCTGTTGACTTTTGGTCACTGCATTTGGTCAGTACACGGCTATTGATCGGTAAACGTTTTAAAGGTACGCGTGGGTACTTTGTGAGATTCAGGATTGTGATCAGGCAACTAAAATGAATTAATACGGGGAAAGCTTGGCACGATACATAAGATGGAAAGATTCGGCACCTTTCATTGTGGTCTGATGTTCGTTTTGAAAAGCATAAGGACTGCTTCCAGGGTAATAAGTCCAAGCCACTTCTTCAGAAAGCGAATGAGGCCCTCCATCTTGGTTTTTATTCACTCGTACTTAGAACCAGTGCTTAGTAAATAAGGGAAGAGGTTTTGTTCCTGTCCTATCGACAGCTTGACAGTTTTGCGGTCTATTAGGGTGTAGCCAGACTTCATTGCTTTAGATGTCAGAGGCTTGAACTTTTTTGGCTCGGATGCCATGTAGTTTTTACCTGCTTAGGAGTGAAGATAAAGCGAGCCACCCCGATCAATCTGAAAAGTTATTTTGTTCACGTATCTTCCTCCATGCCCCGATGTCAGTGACGCAGAAAAATCCTCGCAGAGATCAGATGCGCAATCGGAACTTCCCCAGAGGTACTTTTTATAGTCAGTCCCTTACTGTAGGCTCGTTTTCGCTTTCAGTAGAAATTTGAACCATTCAGGTAAACTGCAGGGCTTCTACTACTGGAAGCTTAGCCAGCATGACGCTATGCTGTGCGCAGTTGAAATGTTAGCCAGGGTTCAGAAAGAGGAGGTACACCGCTTGCTTGCTGTGTTGGTGAGTAGTCTTGATACTTCAGGTGACAATTAGGTTAATGGCGAATGGGCGGCCGATCTTGGAGACGTCCATGAAGTCCTTAACAAAATAAGAGACTGAAACTTCCAGCGGTGTGGAGAACATGGCAGCAATGCTATCATTCGGTAACTACTTCCTTTTTGGTCTCTTCCGTTAAGGAATGACTTTAGGGTAAGGAGCCTTAATTACCACAGGGGGTCAGTTTAATTTCAAGTAGCGTGTAAAATAGTTAAAAATATCCAAGGCAAACACCTTGAATCTGCTCTCTGAGGCCAGTGATCTATTGCTACGGTCGGACATTCCCCTTCTATGGAAGGTGGGTAATTGCGCAATCATCGTCTGGAAGAATCCTTATCATAATAATTTTGACATTACAATTACTGTGCGGTATAGCTGCAAGATATTTCAGGTAAGGCGAAGAGGTCGTCCAGCTTTGTGGCGGTTGTGCAACCTCAGAAAGTGCCAATGAATTCTATTCACCTCCCTCCTTCCGAGGTAAACAGCACCGAATCGTCGCCCTGTACAAAAAGCCATGACATCGCTTGCACGATGTACACAAAGGACCCACAAGAAATGTACAGAAGGGCTGACTTTCTTGGAGATATTTCCAAACACTTTCGCACTCTTAACTCGCTCTCGTTTTGACCGATTAACGCCCGCTCTATACGCAACAAAATGAAAGAGATTATGCTGCTATCTGTGGTGTGTAATCCCTCCGTGATAACGGCTACAGAAAAGCGAGGTACCTCCGAGGTTTGTGACGCAGGGATCTCCATCGACAACTGTTAGCTGTTCAGAAGGGACAGACTACATGGCAAGGGAGGAGGGCGCATTATCTGCATAAAGTCCGACATCACTGCTACGCTGTGAACCAGAATTACAACTCAGTATGGAGTATCGCCAAACTTACTCGCTCCACATCCCTCCTAATGGGATGCATTTACCGGCCCCTTCCTCCCCAGTCGAATACGATGACAAGCTAACAATCGTGTTCGCTCCTGTGGCAACACCATCACGCACAGCGAAAATTATATGTGGTGACTTTAACGTGCCAGCGACCAATCAGCTATCCAGAGAGCTTTGATAAATTCATAAGCATTCTTGAAATGGAGGGTTGGCAACAACATGTGGAACACCCTGCCAGGTACAATAGTGTCTTGGATCTAGTCTTCATAAACGAAACCACACCCACAAAGCTCCAAGTGGGTACACACTTCACAGGTAGCGATCACAAGATAGTATGTGGACACTTCAACATATCCAGCACCAAATTAGCCCAAAAGTCAGGAACGGTACTAACTGGAAACTACAAGCATGCCAAATGGAACGAACTACAATTGTTTCTGCGCTGCCTAGATTGCAGCCCCTACTTTACCAATAGTTCAGTCGAAGAACTCTATGACCTATTTTATGAATATATAGGCACAGCTCAAGACTATATTGCTCCACCGCTTTAAAGAGAAATTAAGAAAAACGGAAGTGATTATATACCTAAGAAAGTACGCAACCGCATGCGAAACCATGCCAGAGAGTACTGTAAGTCGAATGATTTTTAATCGCTTGTCACACTCAAAGACACATATGACACATTCAGAGTGGAAAGAATACTAGAAGCCGTTAAACAAGAAAGCATTCAATATATTAAAACTAGTAATACAGAAGCACTAGTGAGGCTGACGGAAACCCGGACAGACAGCTCCAGAAATAGTATCCCCTAGTTTACTGACAGACAACGGCATCCTCCTTGACGATCCACTACAAATCAGCGAGCTGTTCAGTTACCAGTTTGCCAGCTGCCTTACAAAAGAGGACGAAATTAAAGCCATTGGTGCACCGTCAACATCGACTCACTCGATAAGTACTATGCTCTTCACTAAACAAAACATTTCTGTGGCCATAGCATCGCTTCGAACCTCATACAGTGCGGAACCTGATATAATTCCAACCATCTTGTTAAAAAGAGGTGGCGAAGATATACCGGTGATTCACATGAAGCTCTTTAATACGTCCCTCTCCAGTGGCAATTACCCTGAGAACTGGAAACTATCATTCATAGGTCCCAAGCATAAATGTGGACCAACATCTAATATAGAAAACTACCGACCTATAAACATCACGTCAGTAGTATCCAGGACTATGGAAAAGGTGGTCGTGAAAGTAGTTGTTGACTACATGACGACAAACCAATTGCTCTCACCAGCACAACATAGATTCTTGGAAGGCAGGTCTGCACTACCACCTATCCTGACTATCTAGACAACGTTACATGCAAGCGTGACCAAGGCCTATCTGTAACTACCCTTTTGTAAGATAGATAAGTTTTTTTATTTGTTTTAAAAATCTTATAAGGCAAACGGTCACTGAAATCAATTGAGTTATGTACAGATTTCCAAGCCCTTGCCGAAAAGACACATTCATAAGGCAGAAACTGGGCTTCCGATATGTGTAATATTCGCAGTCAGGAAACATTTCATCCAACAGCAAAAAGCATCAAAAACCAATAGGACTAGAAATGGGTGGTTAAGTCTGGTTTACCAGGTGACTAGGCCATTGCTGGCACACTCGATCGTGCTTGTTACTATTTTGTGCTTTGAACTGCAGAAAATCTAATTACTGGTCAGTGAAATAAATGCCACGTGATATCTTCATCAAAGTTAAACCGAAGGTAATTTAGATACATATCCAAAATAAGTTGCATTTTGATCGGAACAAGTAGATTAGGTCAGCTTATCTCGCAAGAAGGCCCCACGAGTAGAAATTTCTTAGTGAGATCCAACATATCACCAAGGCTCGGGCATAGTAATCAGTTCACTTAAATCCTGGTCAGAGCAGGGAGGGAAAAACTGGGTTTTATACCCTACCATGTCAACCCAAAGTAGTATATGTAAATACTGATCACCAAGTGAAACAGAAGGTAAATTGGTAGGGGAAATACACGTATATTCAAGTTCCGTGCCCTCAATACACTTTTCAAGCTGGTAGTTAGAATCTTCGTCACATAGGATAGTATTATCACAGACTGCTACACAGCTACGATCAAGGCTATGCCAGCCAATGTTATCGGGCAACGATGGCAATTCTGGCCAATCCTCCATGAAGTTAGCTACCGGTGGAGGGAACTTCTTGTCTCCCTGTTGGCTTTCCAGTCGAGCGGAGGATTTTCCAATACATTCAAATGGTATTTATGACGCTTGTGCTTCTTTTTCTTTTTGACTTTTTGGGCATCCTTGTTGGTATTTTGAAGTGTTACTCGACTTGGAACGTCTTCGTTGTTGTTGAAATACACTGGGCTCTGGTTACTAGATACTGATGTCAAGGTTTGTGAAGGTGCTGGACTTTGATTGAAATCGGAGACCGAGATGCTACCTTTTTCATATGAAGCAGATTTTTCTACATACTCAGAGTGTACTTCAGATTTGACATCTGCAAAAGTGCATGACTTAGGAAGATGTGTGGCTTCATTATTATTAACAGGTGAAGTGCGTGGAGTGGAATGCGGACCAGAAGTTGCTCGATTTAAACCTGTTTTTGTAGGTTGCACCAGACAGCATACTCTAGGCGGGTCGATTTCTTTACCGGTTCTATTCGTTAGGATACGATGAGTAGTGATGGGATCAATGCAGTCACTTGCAGCTTGGACCAATTCTGCGGTTGATTTAACTTTAGATAAACGCGTAGAGTTGTTTACGCGCGGTTTCGACAAAAACTTGTACAGGAGACCGGGAAGCAGTCGTAATGCATGACTGAGATATTGAAATGTCTGACTCTGCTTTAAACATGAGTTCTGAACATTTACTGCCATTCAAAAGGTTACTCGGACTACTGACTTTACCAACTGTTGATATGTTCATAGTAGGGAATGGGGAGTCAATACACTTTAGGCGTTTAGACAGATTTGAATTAAAGTCTTCACTTTGTTGAATCTGATGCGCGTGTATTTTAGATGCGCCATCTTTACACATTTTGCTAGCTAAAAAATCTGGTAAGTTTCTCTTCGTTGGACGAACGGAGCTTTCATCACCATAAACCGAAACATGACATTTCAACTGGGGAGGGCATGCAGTATTTACAGTATCCATGCAATGTCCAGATTTCTCGCGAACAAGTGGTTTGGTTGGTGTGCCATTAGGTCTAGGTAAGTCAGCTGCAACTTTTTCAGATGTTTTTATAGGAATTACACACTGGTGTGAATAGTCAGATGATAACAATTTCTGCCACGCCTTGATAATGAGACGAATACGTTTTTGGAGTTAGTGAACGACTTTATGACGGATGGTTTGCAGGAGCTGACCAATCCTAGTATCTTGCAATTGATTTATGGTCACTGGAAAGTTCTCCAATCGTTCGATGATATTGCATACTGCATTTACATCAGTTATATTTTGGGTTGAACCTATTGAATTCCTCAGTATAAGCATGATGGTATTCAGGGAATTGCTCGTTACAGCGTAGAACATCGATACAACCCACAAAATTCGAGCCCACAGGGACAGCAGGCCTAGTCTGACTTCAAGCAAGCATTCGATAAGGTGCCTCACAAACAACTGGTCACTAAGTTGCAATCATATGGTTTCCGAGGCCCGTTAATGTCCTGGCCCAGAACATCTTTAGGGGGTCGCTTCCAGGTGATAAAATTCAGTAATTGCTACTCCTTCCCTAGACCTATACAAAGTGGTCGTCCAGGGTAGTGTGCTAGGACCGATAATTTTCCTAACCTATGTGAACGATATTTGCAGAGTTATCCGAAATGGCTTACCCTACCTTTTTGCAGAAAACTTAAAGATAGTCTACAGCTTTTCTCCTGCAGCACTTACATGGGGTTTCTCTCAAATACAAGAAGATCTGAGGAGAATGTTCATATGGAGAGTGACCTGGCAGCTCCCTCTACACTCGAATAAAAGCGGCATCCTCAACTTCAATAAATCCCACCAAGAAGAAACACTACATTTGGGTGACGTCGCACTGCAGATATACAACGCTGTGAAGAGTTCGGAATCACTTACTGCAGAAGTTTGACTTTTACCGAGTGAGCAGATTCAGTAGTTTACAAGGGCAGAAGGCTCATCGGTCTTCTACACAGAAACATACACCTGAGGCAAAACTTAGGCTGTACAAGGCTATGGTTCGCCCAATATTAGAGTACTGCACCGTTATCTATGGTAGCATGAATGTATCGGACAGAATTCGAGTACAGAACATTCAACGTAACTTTACTCGGCGTCTACTAATACATAACGAAGGACTTTCTTACGAAGCAAGATGCAAAAACTAGGACTAGAATCACTCTGGCTGAGACACCTGAAGCTCAACTTAACACTCCTTTTTCGTCCTTTATTTACAAACCCTAAAACGAAATGTGCTGTCACTTTCAAAACAACACGGGCATATAATCTGCGTAATAGCGAGTACATCATACCAATAAGTGAGTATCGCTCAAAACTTCGATTTAGGTTTTTCATAACGCAATACAGTATGCTGTGGAACAAACTTCCCACTCCTATACGAGCATGTCGATCTCTCGGCCAGTTTCAACGATTACTTAGTGAATTCCTCCTATCTAACGATTCTCATCAACTCGTTGACGGCCAAACCGCAAACGATAATACCATGTACGATGTAGCTACTGGTACCTAGACTCAAGGGAGACTAACAGCAATGGCAAAAGTGTGCAATGCCAAAAACTAAACGCATTAGTTAAGTTAAAATCTAATTTCGTTAAAAGAAATGACCAAGAGTGAACGGGAAGCGGAGTGCGATACGATATTCAACATTGAACTCAGTAGCTACTCTAATGTAACCTACATTTCTTCCTAACCTAACTGATTTCACGACTTAACACCTATTTCCTAAAATTCGTCCCTTAAAGTAATCTCTGTACTCCGAATTGATAAAATAAGTCTGTCGGTGCATTTTCATAGCATGTAACATGTTTTATTATTTGCCCTTTGTTATCAGTACTTACATGTGAGTACTGTGCACCAACACAGTTTCGGTAGCCCCGATATGGTAATACTCAACAGGCAACACCATGATTATCCTTCTCATGGCCAGATAAAGGGTGGTTACCGTCTGAAAGAAAACCATGAATTTCACTTAGGCGTTTATAACTTCATCAAACGCTTGTACACAGGCATATAACAAGTGAATACCTGGTCCAGAATCCTCTAATCTGTCTACTTCGTGGTGAAATCTTCAGCTTCAGACTGATTTTCATCACTGTCGCGCGCACCTTCACCTTTTTCCACCTAAGCTTACCTCTAAACAATTGGTTCTGGATACTTCTTGAAGTAAGTTTTACAGTCAGTACGAAGAACCCACACAGGTGTATCGTGGTAGATCTACTCCTGCGTATTTTTGTGCTCCTGTTTAGAATTTCGCCTGCTGCTCGCTTTCGCTATTCGCTTTTCAGGTTTACCCAACCGGTCCTGCATTCAAATGGAATCCTACAAATTGCATTTGTCGGTGGCAAATATTGCCATCAAATGGTTATGACGAACGCGCATACCTCAAGGTCATGACTGTGGTGCGGCCCCGCCTTCAAGAATATTGGATGGTTCAAACGATAACCGGATAATCTTTAAATTCGAACTGAGCCTGCTTCAACACACCCCCTATATGTCATAAATAGTGTATAGCTTAACACTGTACATAATAGTCATTTCTCATTACCAAAATGATCAAACCTGTAAACTGTTTTGTATTCATGTAACCTCTGTTGTATGAGATATATATTATTATTCCGTTTTCTTTTCTTTACCTGATGCTTGTCTTTCTTTTTCGTTGTAGGTGAACTCTTTGGAGTTGAAAGTTTCCTTGGTTACGGATGAAAACAAGTCCTTACGGGAATAGACCTTTGTTGAAACAACCGGTTGTCGAAAACTGTGACTGCATTCACAACAGCGAAGTACCATGTGGAGGAAAGAATGATGTTCTTCAGACAGCAACTTTAGAATAACCAAGACCTGGGATCCACTGCGAAGGTGAACAGGAACGTGTCATACTTACCAGCCTCAAGTTTGTTTCGGCCAGGGAAAATGGCAGACGAAAGCCTTCGGAGGTCCACTTGACCCACTCAAAAAACCCACTACATTTTCACAACGCAATTAAGACAGGGCAGGTATTTGGCTTTCGGTAAGATTATCGACCCCCGGTGACAAGTGACATCGAAATGAGTGAGACTGATAGTTCTGCACCCATCAGAGGAAGGCAAACACACAAACCACGTGTATATATTCATATACGACCTCTTCATCATTAGTGATGGGCAAAATATGACAAACATGGCAATGAAAGCATTAACTTCAGCCTTTGTTTCTCTCCAGGTAATCCTTGTGGTACTTCAATGCACTCTGATGGTTTTGTTAATGGAGAGACAATACCTCTAAGTGTTCGTAGCGCCAATTTGCGCATACCCATTCTGTTGACATCCTACACTCTATTAGCATACAACAGAAATGTTCCGCATTTGAAATCACTTTCCCTGAATGAGCGTGTAATTCACATCTAATTCCTATACACTAGTTAGTGTTTCCACTACTCTACTTCTTAGTATCCTTTCCTTTAGTTCAAAAAACTTCTGATACCAAATGCCCACGTCCTGTTGCCTTGTATGATTTCAATTTTAATTTCGAAGGGATTTAGAGGACTGACAGTCGCTCTCCATTCAGTTTTTGACTGCACGTTCGGCAAACAGAGCCTCTTTCTTGGAGACTTTTACAGTTCTTTAAGGTGTTCTGCACAATGCTTCAGCCAACTGTCTCGAATGTTAAGCACAAATGTATCGTTTTTGGTGAATTTCTCACTGACCACTGGATAATTCCCGACAGTTTTCTTTGTCAGACCAAAAGGTCTGCAGAGTATCACCTCGTGGTGATGCCTCCCCTAGTTCTTTAACTTTCACCACTCAACAGCACTTGTGGTCGTCTCTAGGACGTTTAGACAATTCAGTTGTGAGGTGCTTTCTGTCTCTATCATGAGTGAGCCTAGCCGGAATGAGTCTTCATACATCCAGCGGTTTGAGAGAGGGTTCAAACATCCGCTGGTTTTTGGCAACCTTCGGATGCAGGTTATCAGCTGTCGTAGCCGTTTTCTCTACATCACACTCAAAATAGCATCAGGTTCCATAGGAGGGAAGTTGCAATCACGTGAAGTTAGTGCTTCGCTCTCTAACCCCTAGGAACACCCTAGCAATTCTTATTTTCTAGTTGATCAAACAGAGGACTCATTGCTACCTATTTTCTGTCCGTAAATCGCATATCACATGTTGTAACTGACGAGTAGGCTAAAAATCCTGAATCCGTTCCAACTTCATAGGTAGTTTGGAGTACATCAGGAGATGAAAAAACGCCACCGGGGAAGCACACTGTGATGTTAACTGAGACACTTATTCGAAAACTGGAGAACTATGGAACCAGCTGCTTGTTTATTCCACTGTTTGAAAGCAGAGTAAAAATTTCAAGCTGCTGACAAATCCTATCACTAATCAGAACCAAAGGTCGTGATAGCAAGGTCTACTGGACTGAATAGTTGAGTACACTGGATGCCATGTCCACGAGCGTCATTCAACGTTAAGAACGGAGATCTGAGATTTCGGTGGATTGCAAGAAAGCCTTGGGTGGATAACGAAGGAAGACTAAAGGAAGAGTGTCAGGGTTGTTCTGCTGGTTCAGTCACTTTGATTATTGGAAACTCACAGTAATAGGTGATGACGTGTGATCAGTTTTGCATGGCAAGCGAGAAATTTTGAAAGTGAACGCTGTGCAACATGTGAGTTTATCGCCTAAACCCAGGGCAGAAGCTTCGTGAATGCGTTGCAGTTTACTTCTGTGAAGAGGAAAGGAGAAAGTTTGTCACGTGACCTTCCTCAAAGTGCTGACAAATTAATCTCATCACTAGAAACCTTGATAGGCCGAATCACCTGGGTGAATGGTGTCTTGGTAGCGGGTGACAAGGTGGACAGTAATTCAGGCACCCATGAAGTAACCGACTAAATAATAGTAACACAATGAGGATTTTGAACTAGATACAAGTGGCGACTGTTCTTCTTGATTGGTTTGTTGCCAACTGCTGACCTGAGTGG